ATGCATTCCTCTACTCAGTAACCCTGTCCAAACCTTTTTCAGGCAATCAACACTTAAAGTAATTCAGGAAAATAGTTCTCTTTAACTGGGCTTCAGATATATTTTTATTTATCTTTTATGACTGTAAAGCAAAAACCCTCAGACAAAATATTGTGTTAAAATGGAGATACAGTTGGTAGCATATATTAGTATCTTAAGGGTATAAAAATTATGAGACTGTTCATACCCTATGTAAGATAAGAACAAGGAGGCTAGTGTCACTACAGAACACATTTAAAGTTCTCTGGGTGCCTTAACTCTGTATAAGCATTAGTGATGTTAAAATGCATTTATTCAAATAAGCACGTAACTGCTAAAAATTTCAGTGGTTACATGGTTACACACAGGAGGGGGCCAACTCTCTACATGTACTGGCTTCCATCTACCTTCCACACTGCTGCTTCTTATATAGAGGCAGCAGTGCAGAATGGGCAGGCGGCTTTGTAGGAGCCAGTACACATGAAGAGCCGCCTTGAAAGTTGGCTTCCCAGGTGCACTGGCTCCCGCCTGCCCATCCCCCATCCCTCTATCCCATGCTGCTGCTTCTGATACAGCAGTGTGTAACCGTGCATGTTAACCAATGAGCCCAGGCTCATCAGTTAACTGTGTACACAGTTACAATTTCACATCCCTAATTAGCATCTCTTTTAAAATGTTCAGATTTCATCTAAATTTAATCTTAATTCTGAATCTTCTGCATACATAATATTTGTTTTGAGGATAACTACAACATTCTTGTAAGAGGAAGTTACTCACCTCGTGCAGTAACGACGTTTCTTTGAGGTGTGTCCCCCCATAGGTACTCCACTGCAAGTGTTGGGCTCGTCCCGGCACCGCAGGTCAGAGAATTGTCAGCTGTAGTTCAGCCAGACAGCACGTGTGCGGCGGCACGTGCTATTCGAGCCACTTGTGAGCTTGCACACGATCTGGCTCCCACCAGTTCCTCCTAAACGGAACACTCCTGCAAGACACAAGAGGAGACTCCAAAAGGGGAGGAGGGTGGGTTGTGAAGCACCTACAGGGACACACACCTCGAAGAAACATCATTACTGCATGAGGTGAGTAACTTTCTCTTCTTCTTCGGGTAGTGTCCCCGTATGTGCTCCACTTCAGGTGAGTGCAGAGCAGTAGCCTCGTCTACGGAGGTGGGATTGGAGTTAACGTTTCACTACTAAGGATAGCCCCTCAGAGGCACCGCAGAGTCCCGGGTAATAACATTAGTGGCATAATGCCTGGCAAACGTCATGTCTGAAGACCATGTTGCTGTACGGCAGACGTCCTGCATTAGGACGCCTTTGAGAAAAGCTATTGAGGCTGCCATAGCTCTAGTAGAGTGAACTGAGAACGATGTTGGTATTGGCCTATTTCATAGCATATAGCACTTTGTGATACATTTCACTATCAATTTGGAAATGCTCTGTGATGATCGCGCTTGACCTTTAGTCCTTTCATTGGAACACAGTAGGAGTCTTTGTGATTGACAGAAAGAACGAGTTCTTTCTAGGTAGAATGCCAGTGCCCTACGAACGTCCAGTGTATGCAACCTGGCCTCATGTGTCGAGGTATGCGGTTTAGGATAGATTATAGAGAGTATTATAGGCTCCTTGATGTGAAATTCAGAGTTTACCTTTGGTAAGAAATTAGGGTGAGATCCAAGTATTACTCCCTGATTTGTAAATAGAGTATATGGTGGGTTGGCCAAGAGGGATGCTAGCTCCCACACCCTTCGGGCTGACGTTATGGCTAAGAGGAAGGCTAGCTTCATGGTAAGTATGGATATGTCACAAGTGGCTCATGGTTTGAAGAGAGGGTAGGTGAGGGTGTCCAGGACTAGTTCTAGATCCCATAGGTAGACGGCTTTCTTAGTAGAGGATAAAGGTTTGCAAGACCTTTGAGAAAGCGTTTTGTCATATGGTGAGCCATTAATGAAGATCCTTCAATTGGTTGTCTAAATGCAGATATCGCCGTGAGGTTCACCTTAACTGAGGATATAGCTAAACCCACCTGGTGCAAATGGAGCGCATAGTCAAGGATACGATGGAACGGGACAGACATCGGTCATGGCCTGGCCTGCTGTCTATATTTGGGTCCCATGTAGGAAAGGGGCCTCTGCCTGTAGTATGGTGCGTAGCGATTGTGGCAATAGGGCTGTGTGTACATACCCAGGGTCTTTAAAATTGTCCGGGAGTCCTTTCCCTAATGGAGCAGTTGGTCAGTGTTTTGTGCAAAAAGACTCTGCCTATCGAAGGGCAGGTCCTCGACCTTGCTCTGTAAGTCCTTTGGGATGGAGGCTAACTGCAACCACGATGACCTTTGCATAACCACAGATGTTGCCGTGGCCTGTGCTGCCACATCGGCAATGTCCAGGGCAATTTGTAGGGCTGTAGTCGATGCTATGTACCCCTCCTGGAGTACTGACTTGAGCAATTCCTGCTTGTCATCGGGTAGATGTTCTAAAACCTCCACTAGCTTAGAGTAATTGTCAAAGCTGTGATTAGATAGATGCGCCGCATAGTTTGACATCCGGAGGATGAGGGTGGCAGAGGAGTAAATTTTTCTTCCAAAGAGGTACAGGCACTTGGACTCTTTGTCTGCAGCCGCATTTTTGTTTTGTGGTGTTTTGGTCTTTTATTGGGCTGCATCAACAACCAAAGAGTTTGGTTGGGGATGCGTAAACAAAAATTCCATCCCCTTGGATGGCACAAAGTATTTCTTATCTGATTTTTTGAGTGGGTTGTGATGACGCCAGAGTTTGCCAGATGTTGTCGGCAATCTCTAATATTGCATCGTCAAATGGTAAAGCCATTTTTGGTTTTTGTGACTGGTGTAAACGTTTTAATAGCGGATGGTGTTTCTGTTGAACCTCAGTGAGATGCAGCTCTTGGGACTCTACTACCCTTTTAAAAAGGTTGTAGAACTGATGGATGTCATCAGTGGGTGAGGAATCTCCCGGGAACACTGCATCATCCAGAGATGATGATGATTGTTCTGTTGGTGATTCGACTTGAGGCTGGGATTGCTCTGATACTGAAGCCTGTGGTTCCAGTTGTGCCGGTGGGATAGGGATGTCTCCTGATGGTATAGGAGGTCGAATAGGAATGATCAGTGGTGTTGGTCATCTAGATTCGCTACGAGATTGTGAATGATGGCAATGTGGGGACCTAGACGAGGAATGTCCTGAGGAGTATCAATTGTGGTGACAATATTCACACCGTTGATAATATTGGTCATGATGATGCCATCCCAGGGAATAAGTGGATGAGTACGGTATTCTATAATCATACCGGCATCTGGAATATGATGATCTTGTAGGGGATCTGGAAGAATGCGACCTATGTCCCCTATTTGATGGTGAGCATGAATATCTACAGTATCATTGGGGTGAAGGAGAGAACCATGGAGATCGCCCATGATGAGAGACATGAGGTGCATGGACCTCTTGGTGCAGTGGTACAGAGAATACTGATGCAGGTGACTGTGGTTGGGGAGAGAATACCACCCGTTCTGTGCTCGGGGATGGCATTCTTATCCTCTTGGTTCTGCGTCTTGCTCTACCAAAGGATTGACTGTCCTCAGAATGTGATTTGTTCCTCGTCCACATTTCGATGGGTTATGCTCGGTGCCGTTGTTATGCTGGGCATCGATGGTAGCGTTGATGATCCCGTTTGGGATGGTACCGGTGAGAGTTCCATCGTCCGTTCCCCTGGAACTGGGATGACTGTGACCGAGACCGCTGATGGGGTCAGAGCAGAGTTCACCAGCACAGTCTGTAGAGTTGGTGCCCTGGGTGCCGACATAGTTGAAGGAGCCAGTGCTGACGTACTCGGTGCCGGGGCACTTGGTGCCGGAAGTTGCATGCTTATCAGGGCTGCAGGTGTGCTTTTAGCTGTTTTGAGCTTTGCTGTTGCCGGGCCTGACTCTGGTCTAAGAGATGTTGCCGCTGCTGCCTCCCTATGGCGGGAAGGACTCGGCTCCGATAGACTGCAGCTTGACTTGTGGTGCTCACCATGGTGAGGTAACCCTACTCCCGAGGTACCTGGCCTGTCTCCCACACTCCGACACAATTCAGAGGAGTGAGGAGGTAATTTTTTTTGATGAGGTTGAGGCAGCAGACATAGATGGTGTAGGTGACCCTGACTTGGAGGGTTGAAGTGCCTTACTGAACAGCAGCATTTTTAGTCGCAATTCGCGGTCACATCTGGCCCGGGCCGTGAGCGTAATACAGTGAGGGCATTTTGGGGGTATAAGACCCTTGCCCAAGCACTTTATGCACATTGAGTGCCCATCGGACGCCAGCATTGCGTCGCAGCATTGTGAGCATTTCTTGAAGCCAGGAGACCCCAGCATCCTGACTGAAAGAAAAAAAATCTTTTTTTTTTAACAAAACCATTAAGACTAACTAACTATGCTAATTAACAACAACTATCTAACTAACTCTAAGATTAATACAACAATTTTTGTCTCTGACAGGAAGAGAGGGAGTTTGCTCTGCCTTCGACCGTGAATGGTTAGGAAGAACTGGCAGGAGCTGGATCACGTGCAAGCTCACAAGCAGCTCGAACAGAATGCGCCGCCGCACATGCATGATCTGGCTGAACAACAGCTGACAATTCTCCGACCTGAGGCACCATGATGAGCCCGGCACCTGAAGTGGAGCACTATGGGGACACTACCCGAAGAAGAATGTCAGCTTACTGGGATTCATTTCAAAAACAGATTTCAAGTATTTTGCTATATGACCTGGCAATGACATGATGTAACTACATCCCTATTTGTTGTATTCATGGAATAGATTGTTAGAAAGTTAGCTACTAGAATTTACCAACTAGTGCTTCAGAAGAAACATCTCTGTTTACAAAAGCATGTAAGCATGTGCTTAAGATCTTTCCTGAATCAGGGTCCATGAGTCTAAGAGTTGCTTTATACAATGATTAACAGAATATAGGAAAACCCAGGTTTGTATACATAGAAATGAACTCACTTTCCTCATTGGGGAAGGTACATGGTCAACATCCATGGATTCTATCCTAATAGTGCAAAATAAATGTATATGTTGTAATAATAAATTACAGATCTATTTTAATTAAAATATTATTGAAAATTATGTTATATCTTCTCATTCCTGATAAATAAAATATTGCAGTATCTATTCTACTATTTTAGTTAGTAAATTCATTTTCAGCTCCTTCATTTGTATAGATGAAATGTTGTTTTGAAATACAAATAACTTATTGTTTTAAATAGTATAAGTTACAGGTTATGAAATCTACGCAGCTGTCAAAACATAGAGGCTACATCTACATTGGCATCCCTTTCCGGAAAAGGGATGCTAACGAGACGAGATGGAATTGCAAATCCGCGGGGGATTTAAATATCCCCCGCGCCATTTGCATTTACATGGCTGCCGCTTTTTTCCGGCTTGGGGATAAGCCGGAGAAAAGCGCCAGTCTAGACGCGATTCTCCGGAAAATAAGCCCTTTTCCGGAGAATTTCTTATTCCTACTTTCAAATTCCTATTTGCAATTCCGACTCGTCTCATTAGCATCCCTTTTCCGGAAAGGGATGCCAATGTAGACGTAGCCAGAGAGTTATGGATGGGATTTTGAAAGGAAGCTAAAGGAATGAGGTACCAAATCTCTTTGAAATGTAATGGGATTTGGACATCTAACTCCTGTAAATACCTTTGAAAATCCCAATTAATGTGTATAAAGGAAAGGAAAATAGATTAGAAAATAGCATTAGAAATCAATATGACCAGTATTTTAAAAAGGGGTTAATAATTTGAGGTTCCCAATTTAAGAGACATTAAGGTGATCCTGATTTTCAGAAAGTGCAGATTTCCTGTGCTCTTCAAAGCAGGCCTCTTTAAATCACCTCAAATGGAGCTCCAAAAATCAAGTCTGTCAAAATCATTTCTGAAAATCTTGATCTACTTTTAAGAAATTAACATTCATTGTATTGTCATATACAACTTAAATATTAGAAATGCCAATACTAACATGACAACACTTGGATCAAATTATGCTCTGAATTAAAAACAGAATGGGATTTGCACAGAAGTCCATAAAGCATTTGGCCTTAAATTATTTTAGAAATTCAAATTAACATATATGTAGGAAGTATGGTCCCAATTCAGTACAATTTAAGTACCCCTCTTGCTTAAAAATGTGAACAGATCCACTGAAATCAGTGGAACTACTGACACGCTTAATGTTGGCCATATGCTTTAATACAGGGCAGAACTGAAGCTATATGAATAACAGAACATATTTAGTACTTAGCAGAATAAACTAATTGCACCATGAATTCTTTGATCACTGTATCATAATAAGCTATTGTTCTCATCAGCTCATTAGTCTCACTACTGAGGAGAGACCAGATACTAAAATTAGAAAATATATTAGAATTTGGGCTCGTAGTCAACAGGGTGTATAGTCTGGTAAAGTCATAGCACTAAGTAAACATAAGAGTCTTTGAACAAATACTAATTTTAAATCTCTCATTGTTCATGAGATTTTCAGTGGTAACTAAGGGATCTGTACCCACCTTTCTGAGGTTGATGGGCAGCTGGGATGAAGTGAGTATGGTGAATACCCATTCTGCTTTGCTGAAGGAACTAAAATAATTAAACAATGTTAGAGCTTTGTTATAATCAGTGATGCATATTTCATAGTTAATGTTTTAAATTAGTTCTTCTCTTACTAGAAATGGGATTTCTAACTGTAGCGGAAACAGTCAGATGAGTAGTTTGTTGGGGAGGCCTCGTGCTAAATGTAAAACGAAAGAAAAATAGACATAAATTAAATTAAAAAAGGTTTTAGTTATATAACTACTATCGATTGCTCTTTTAACATGATAAAATTGCTTATAAAAATACATATGATTAGCTATAAAGTACACTGTATGTGTATTATATTGTCCACGCCTCTTTGCATGACAACAGCAATTTTATGGTAACATCCAGAAAACTGTGGGTATGTCTACACTACCCTCCTAGTTCAAATTAGGAGGGTAATGTATGCATACCGCACTTGCTAATGAAGCCCGGGAAATTCAAATCCCGGGCTTCATTAGCATAAGCGGGGAGCCGCCATTTTTAAATCCCCGCTGCTTCGATCCCCGTGCAGCGCGGCTACACGGGGTTCGAAGCAGCGGGGATTTAAAAATGACGGCTCCCCGCTTATGCTAATGAAGCCCGGGAAATTCAAATCCCGGGCTTCATTAGCAAGTGCGGTATGCATACATTACCCTCCTAATTTGAACTAGGAGGGTAGTGTAGACATACCCTGTCTTATTTAAAGGCCCAATATTAATGTACAAGTAATTGTGATGAACTCTGTACCCATAGGTTTGTGAATTTCTTTACCTTTCTAAAATAAAATTGTCAAGAAAACATAGTAACGTATGTGTGTTATTCACAATTATCATCTTGCAAATGGGATGCTGGAGGCTCTACTGTTTGTGATTCAGAACTTCTAATCTCCATTGGAATCCTCACTAAGCACAGAAGCTTTGTATAGAAAACCAAAAGTCACTTGAAAAACTTGTTAGGCTCATCAGACTTTTTGCAAACATTGCTAATTGGCAAGGTGTCGTTTTAAAAATTGATTTTAACAAAGTCTACAGCATATAAAAGGTATCATTCTGATACCACTTGCATTTGGGCATAGCAAAAAGCACTAGTTTTATGCAAATCCTTCCTAACAAACAAAACTTGAATTAACTAAGCCTAATTATTTGTGATATATGGCTTGATTTTAAAAAGAGACAGAAATTTTACAAGGGGTTGAAACACCTGGCCACCGGGCTCTCTGGCACATGTCAGAATTTCCATCATTCAGATACTAATATGTCAGAATCTGCTTGACCAATTCCCCTGAAATTAATGCAAAATATTGTAATATAGCCCCTTTCATAAGACCCCAATTTATATTTTTAAACACTCTCCACCATTTTTTTAAAAAAAGGTCAGAAATTCAAGTTTCCAACAGAAACATGATTTCCATTATTTGGAGAAGATATACATAAAAACAAACTCTGAGACCTGGTCTACACTACATAGTTAAGTCAATGTAAAGCAGCATACACTGATCTAAGTATCAAGTATCAGAGGGGTAGCCGTGTTAGTCTGAATCTGCAAAAGCGACGAGGAGTCCTGTGGCACCTTATAGACTAACTGAAGTGTAGGAGCATAAGCTTTCGTGGGCAAAGACCCACTTCGTCAGATGCATCTGACGAAGTGGGTCTTTGCCCACGAAAGCTTATGCTCCTACACTTCAGTTAGTCTATAAGGTGCCACAGGACTCCTCGTCGCTTTTGATCTAAGTATGTCAGCATCTACATTACAGCCTCATTGCAATGTCATTGCCTTACTGCACTGATATGATAACTCCAACTGCACAAGTAGAGCGTATGTCAGTGTAGTTAGGGTGACACAATGTCTGTATAGACATTATATTACTTACATCAGTTGTTTGCTCTCTTGTCAATATCAAGAAAGCCAGGAAGCTAGAGCTCAGCTGCTACCCTGGAGACTTGGGTAGCTGGACCTCCACCCCAGCTGAGAACCAGGACCTTTTAATTACCCTGGAAAGGGTTTGAGTTCAAGAGTATGTCTACACTAGGAAATTTTTTCAAAGTAACTAAATTCGACTTAGTAACTCCCAATTTTACAAAATCGAAATAGTGTGTCCCCACTACAGGGAAGCCTCAAAATTAATCTGAGGCAGGCTTCATACCTTGACTTACCGCTCCAGGAGACGCTGGGGAGTAATTAGTTCTAATTACTCTGGGGAGTAGTTATTTTGAATAATGGCACTGGAGCATCCACACTAATGCTATTTTGAAATAACTATTTTGAAATTAACGTTATTCCCTGAGGAAAACAGGAGTACATATTTTTAAATAAGTGACCTGTTATTTCAAAATAATGGTCTTGGTAGTGTGAACATTCCACTTATAAATTTGACCTAAGGGGAGTTAAAAATAACGCTGTAGTGTAAACCAGGTCTAAGTTACTTGTCTGAAGAGCTGAGCCATAGAAGCCCCCACTGAAAGATAGCTGGCCATCAGGAGGCACTACCATGAGTACTCGCCTTGCACCCATTAGGGGATGAGGACCACTTGTAACAACACAGGATGACACAAGGGGTTTGTGTGCTACAGATGGTGAGTACACCATCATACACTTACCCTGAACATGGGACTACAATTCTGCCCAATTATTACATGGACTAGGAAAAAAAGTGGGCAGGCTACTTACTTCTTCCCCCTTTATCTATATACATCCATGTAAATAATAGACCGGATCTAGGCCATAAAAACTGTCTGTCATTTCTAGATTGGAAGAATACATGCTTACATAAAATTCCACAAATCTGCCAGGTGCACATACACTGAGTTATTGTCTACACTGCTGAGTTCAAAGCGACACTGCTACTGCAGTACTATATTGTGGTAGTGTGGTCACAAGCACCAGCACTAGGAGAGACTTCTCTCAGTGTTGTAAATAAGCCACTTCCATGAGAAGAGTAGCTAACAGTGCTGGGACGCTATTTACACGGTCCTTTTACACAGTGGCGGTCCGTCAATACAGGCGACCTAGATGGTCATAATAACATAAGAACATAAGAACGGCCGTACTGGATCAGCCCAAAGGTCCATCTAGCCCAGTATCCTGTCTACCGACAGTGGCCAACACCAGGTGCCCCAGAGAGGGTGGACCGAAGACAATGATCAAGCAATTTGTCTCCTGCCATCCCTCTCCAGCCTCTGACAAACAGAGGCCCAGGACACCATTTTATCCCCTGGCTAATAGCCTTTTATGGACCTAACCTCCATGAATTTATCCAGCTTCTCTTTAAACTCTATTATAGTCCTAGCCTTCACAGCCTCCTCTGGCAAGGAGTTCCACAGGTTGACAACACGCTGTGTGAAGAAGAACTTCCTTTTATTAGTTTTAAACCTACTACCCATTAATTTCATTTGGTGTCCTCTAGTTCTTCTATTATGGGAACTAATAAATAACTTTTCTTTATCAGCCCTCTCCACACCACTCATGATTTTATAGACCTCTATCATATCCCCCCTCAGTCTCCTCTTTTCTAAACTGAAAAGTCCCAGTCGCTTTAACCTCTCCTCATATGGGACCCGTTCCAAACCCCTAATCATTTTAGTTGCCCTTTTCTGAACCCTTTCCAAGGCCAAAATATCTTTTTTGAGGTGAGGAGACCACATCTGTACACAGTATTCAAGATGTGGGCGTACCATAGTTTTATACAGGGGCAGTAAGATATTCTGGGTCTTATTTTCTATCCCTTTCCTAATAATTCCTAGCATCCTATTTGCCTTTTTGACCGCCACTGCACACTGTGTACCATAGTGTTATACAGGGGCATTAAGATATTCTGGGTCTTATTTTCTATCCCTTTCCTATTAATTCCTAGCATCCTATTTGCCTTTTTGACCACCGCTGCACTCTGTGTGGAAGTTTTCAGAGAACTATCCACGATAACTCCAAGATCTCTTTCCTGATTTGTCATAGCCAAATTAGCCCCCATCATACTGTACGTATAGTTGGGGTTATTTTTCCCGATGTGCATTACTTTACACTTATCCACATTAAATTTCATTTGCCATTTTGTTGCCCAATCACTCAGTTTGGTGAGATCTTCTTGGAGTCCCTCACAGTCTGCTTCTGTCTTGACTATCCTAAACAGTTTGGTATCATCTGCAAACTTTACTACCTCACTGCTTACCCCTTTCTCCAGATCATTTATGAATAAGTTGAAAAGGATTGGTCCCAGGACTGACCCTTGGGGTACACCACTAGTTACCCCTCTCCAATCTGAAAATTTACCATTTATTCCTACCCTTTGTTTCCTGTCTTTTAACCAGTTCTCAATCCAAGAAAGGACCTTCCCTCTTATCCCATGGCCATGTAATTTACACAAGAGCCTTTGGTGAGGGACCTTGTCAAAGGCTTTCTGAAAATCCAAGTATACTATATCTACTGGATCCCCCTTGTCCGCATGTTTGTTAACCCCTTCAAAGAACTCTAATAGATTAGTAAGACAGGATTTCCCTTTACAGAAACCATGTTGACTTTTGTCCAACAAATTATGTTCTTCTACATGCTTCACAATTTTATTCTTTACTATTGTTTCGACTAATTTGCCCGGTACTGAAGTTAGACTTACCGGTCTGTAATTGCCAGGATCGCCTCTAGAGCCCCTTTTAAATATTGGTGTCACGTTGGCTACCTTCCAGTCATTAGGTACAGAAGCTGATTTAAAGGATAGGTTACAAACCACAGATAATAGCTCAGCAATTTCCCATTTAAGTTCTTTTAGAACCCTTGGATGAATGCCATCCGGTCCCGGAGATTTGTTAACATTAAGTTTTTCTATTTGTTCCAAAACCTCCTCTAATGACACTTCAATCCGGGACAGTTCCTCAGATTCATCACCCACAAAGGACCTAGCCCCCCTTCTTATTGATGTACAAAATAAAGATAACTTTTCTTCCAACATTGACTCTGTCTTTATTGAACAAAACTGGGGGAGACTGGGAAAAGGAGGTGGGAGAGGGGAAGAGAAAGGCTGGGAGAGGGGAGGGCAACTAACATGATCAGGGGTTGGGAACAGGTCCCAGATGAAGAAAGGCTACAGAGACTGGGACTGTTCAGCTTAGAAAAGAGGAGACGGAGGGGGGACAGGATAGAGGTCTCTAAAAGCAGGGGTTGGGTGGAGAGGGTGCATTCAGAAAAGTTCTTCATGAGTTCCCATAAAGAAGGACTAGAGGACACCAAAGGAAAGGAATGGGTAGCAGGCTTCAAACTAGTAAGAGAAAGTTGTTCTTCTTCACAAAGCAAATAGTTAACCTGCGGAACTCCTTGCTGCAGGAGGCTGTGAAGGCTACAACTAGAACAGAGTTTAAACGGAAGTGAGATCAAGTCATGGAGGTTGGGTCCATGGAGTAGTCTTAGCCAGGGGGTAGGAGTGGTGTCCCTGCCCAAAGTTTGTGGAAGGCTGGAGAGGGATGGCACGAGACAAATGGCTTGGTCACTGTCTTCGGTCCATCCCCTCCAGGGTCCCCGTACCCCTTTAAGGGCTCCGGGGCCGGGAGGGGGGCAATAGAGTTTCCCTGGTGTTGGCCAGAATGGCCACCAGGGAAACCTGGGGAGGGCTAGCCTCCCACTAGTTCGAATTAAGGGGCTACACACCCCTTAATTCGAACTAGTAAGTTCGAACTAGGCTTAATCCTAGTAAAATGAGGTTTTCCTAGTTCGAACTAAGCGCTCCGCTAGTTCGATTCAAATTCGAACTAGCGGAGCGCTAGTGTAGCGGCTATGAATGTTAGTTCGAACTAACGGACGTTAGTTCGAACTAACATTGTAGTGTAGACATACCCTAATAGATTAGTAAGACAGGATTTCCCTTTACAGAAACCATGTTGACTTTTGTCCAACAAATTATGTTCTTCTACATGGTCACGTAAGGCACGAAGAAAAAAGATCATAGAGGGCTTTGGAGGCGGAGGCGCCAATCGCGCTGATTGCGCATTTCGCCTACGGCGCCAGTTACCGGCAGCTCATCTAGGGCCACTCCTGCCTTTACAGTGCTGTAACTTTTTGCACTCAAGGGAGGGTGTTTTTTCACACCCTTGAGCGAGAAAGTTACTGCACAATTAAGTGCTATGGTTGCCTACCGACCAAGGCTTAATTCATAGTCTTAATACTTTCCACAGTGTTGTAAAATGTTTGTCTCCTAGTTCAGTAAGTAATTTTCAAATGTACATCCATTCACATCTGAGTCATTTCCTGGCACAAAATATTCACTGCAAAAATATTAACCTCTTAGAATAATTACTGATTTGAAAGATAAAATAAGAAGCTTTTCCCTGTCATGTTATGTTTATGTTTCTGTGAAGAGGGGTAGGATGACAGAAAACATAATTTATTCATTCATTTCTAGAAATCTAAATATATTATTCTACTCACAGAAGTATGCATAATAGAAAAGAGGCATAATCTTGATTTTTTTGTATTTTATTTTATATAACTTCTTATTAAACCTGCACTATTCCAAATGCAAAGAATACTCACATTTACTTTTGCTATGCTAAGCTTCTTACCATTGAATTGGATGTGTCTGTTGTGTTGCCTTCTTAAGAGAGTCTTCCAATTTTGCAATCTATATGACATAATCAAAGACTTATAGAAATTCTGTTTGTGTGAGATACGGTAGTATTATCAAACACATACTTTTACAAAGAGTTCACTGATTGCATCACATTTATTCTTAGATATTGTTTTCATACCTATACATAGAGTCAACACAGAAGTGGGTATAAAGATCATAGCCAATTTTATTTCTCAGGATCTACATATACATGTTTTTTGGCAGTCATAAACTTCAATTTTGATTCTGCAATGCACTGACATGTTACAAAGCTATGGTAAAATGATATTGAGAAAAGAATTTAAAGGAAGTTTGCTTCTTTCTTCTCATGCTTGTCCCAGATATAAAAAATTAGAGTGAATAAGAATGAAAGTAAATGAAAACACTCAATATAAAATGTTTCCACAAATTTCTTTTCTAAGATCTGAAATGCAGTTAGCTTTCTAGAGTCTAGGGTTACAAGTTGATAAATGTTTGGTTGCATGCATGTGTTCCCTTTGTATGCCCCTCACTCTACACAGATAGCTGACACAGCAAACCTCAAGTGAACCACCCAATGACCACAAGACCCGCAAGGATTATTGTTGACGAAGCACGCTACTCATATCACACAATCTTTACAAGACCACTAATCCATGGACATATGTAAGATATTTCCTCTGATATACATTTTTATACCCCAATAACAACAAGTTCATACAGCGCCTATCGCATAATTACTGTCCCTTGACATGACTAATTATCACCCATCATCTTGTACATGTTGGTTCGATCAAAACATCTCTATTATTTATTATCATTCTGACCTTATCTTTTAGGAGGGATCAGTACATTCCTGAAGCAAAATGCAGGACAATGTAGCACTTTAAAGACTAACAAGATGGTTTATTAGATGATGAGCTTTCGTGGGCCAGACCCACTTCCTCAGATCAAATAGTGGAAGAAAGTAGTCACAACCGTATATACCAAAGGATACAATTAAAAAAAAGAACAAATATGAAAAGGACAAATCACATTGCAGAACAGAAGGGGGATGCGGGGGGGTGGGAAGGGGGAGGAAGGAAGGTAAGTGTCTGTGAATTGATGTACATTCCTGTTATCCTTGGGGAATATTTTTGTACCATCCTTGATATCAGGACATGTTTACATGAATACTCTATGGCTAGCATTTAGGAATGTGTGTTTCTGCAATGTCAGTCCTGTTCTTGCCTGATTCTGTGAGCAGGTCCTGCCTCATTCCAAGCCCTCATCCTACTACAGAATCTTTTTCTTTTTACTTTGACTTGATTTTAAAAGAAATTTCAAGGGATACAATACATTGTATTGAATACACAAAGTACATTAAAATGAGATTATTAAAATTTGCAAATTCAAGCATTCTAAAGGTTACAGCCCTGCTAATGAATTGTGTGCATGTCAACATGACATTTTTACAGTTTGCTTTTCTAGATACTGTATCTGGGAAATCAAACATTCAAAAAAAATATGATAAAAGAACATTATTAAGGCAAAGGGGGCCTATAGAAAAATAGTGTGTAATTGGGTTAGGAATGTGAGGCTAGTAAGACAGAGACAAAAGAAAAATGGATGTGAGCAATTTTATTGGTAGAAAAAGAATGTTGAGTGTATGCAGCATTACTTAATAATTAAATATTATAATATTACACAGCACTACTTTATAATTCAATATTATAATGCAGTTTAAGCCTTGCACCACAACTGTCCTTGTTATTTTTTTCAATTTCTACTTTTTAACAATTTTAAATCTATGAAACTATTTTTAAAAGTAATTTTAAATGCCAACTTGCATCTATCTGTTATTCATCCTTAAATCATACAGATTATTTTTTAAATTATACAGCCAGAATGAGTAACGACTTGTGACTAAGCTGTCTTTTATTTGCAATGGTTGTCTCTGGCAGTTCTGGAATAGGTGTATCATCTGGTTTTGCAGTCGCAGTTTGTAGAGTTTGCTCATTTGTGTGTTGAAGCTACAGAACCAACTGAAGATGTCAACAGTTTTTATTGAACTCCTCACTCTCTGTATCAGTAGTGTATGATCTGGACATTGTCTTTTAGTCTATACAACAGCTGGAGTTCTCCATTCTTTTCCTCTATCCAATTTGACACTATAATGGGGTACACACACACCACACTATTCATAAAGGAGACAATAAGAACAATAATGGGCCCAGGAAGCCCTGTTCCTTTAGGTCTGCTGAGCATACTCTGGCCGGTTAAAGAAGAGCCGGTTAAAAGGAACTCAGACACCTTGGGAGACGTGGAAGGGATAGAGGGAAAATAAGCTTTGCTCCTGAAATCCAGATGGAAGATTGAGTTTGAGACAGGACTACAGCACTGGGAAGGCCCTCTGACAGTGCCTTTTCCAAGAATTGTTTTGAACTTTAGTAAGTTATTGATTGTTTGGACTGTACAGAGCCACTTCCCAAACTGAAGGAAAGTACAAATAGGAAGTGACTCAAGGCAGCCAACTAAGAGTTTCTCCCTAACACTGCTGGTATTGCTTCCCAGTAGGGCCCTGTCTGGGATCCAGTAGAAAGAGAGGACCCTCTCACACATACAGAATGGGAAGCGACTGTCTAGGGAGAAGTACTGCAGAAACGGATCTAGGGGTCATAGTGGACCACAAGCTAAATATGAGTCGACAGTGTGACACTGTTGCAAAAAAAGCAAACATGATTCTGGTATGCATTAACAGGTGTGTTATGAGCAAGACATGAAAAGTCATTCTTCTGCTCTACTCTGCACTGATTAGGCCTCAGTTCTGGGCACCACATTTCAAGAAAAATGTGGAGAAATTGGAGAAGATCCAGAGAAGAGCAGCAACAATGATTAAAGGTCTAGAGAACATGACCTATGAAGGAAGACTGAAAGAATTGGGCTTGTTTAATTTGGAAGGGAGAAGACTGAGACGGGACATGATAGTGATTTTCAGGAATTTAAAAGGGTGTCACAAGGAGGAGGGAGAAAAATTGTTCTCCTTAGCCTCTGAGGATAGGACAAGAAGCAATAGGCTTAAACTGCCGCAAGAGAGGTTTAGTTTGGACATTAGGAAAAATGTCCTAACTGTCAGGGTGGTGAAACACTGGAATAAGTTTCCTAGGGAGAATGTGGAATCTCCATATCTGGAGATATTTAAAAGCAGGTTAGATAGACATCTGTCAGGGATGATCTAGACAGTACTAGGTCCTGCCACGAGGGCAGGGAACTAGACTCGATGACTTCTCGAGGTCCCTTCCAGTTCTAGCATTCTATGATTTTATGACCCAGTCTCTCCCTATCATGCCCAGTTGAGAACAAGGCCCTAAAGTGGACCAAGATTGTGGTGCCTCCAGCTTAAGGGTAGGGACCAGACATCCCTGCCCCTTGTGTATTTCACTATAGACAAACATCGTCACTACATTCGAGATCAGGCAATTTTCTGAGACACAAGTTATAAATGTGTTCATAAGCTCTTTTTATCTTTTGATCTAATTTGGCTACTGTCTCAGCCTTACCATATCAGTGCTAGATTGTTTTCTAAGGTTGGAATAATAGTCCAGGAGTTGGATGGGCTATTGCAGGTAGCTACTAATAGTATTGACCTGCAGCTTAGAAAAGCCAGAAATGGATCTTCCTGCTTCAGTATTTTCTTGGTTTTCTGCCCAGTCATCCAAATTTCTCCATGGGCATGTCTACATAGCTGCATTATTTCGAAATAACTACGCGAGCATGTACGCAGCAAGCCCATTATGTTGCAATAATTTCAAAATAACAGGCAGCTTATTTTGTCATCTGTAACCCTCATTCTACAAGGAATAATGACTATTCTGAAATAGCAATTTTGGAACAGGGTGTGGGTAGACAGGGCAGCTGGAGTTACTTTGAAATAATTGGCCTACAGCCCTTCCCACAGGTGCCCTGCTGCCCCTGGGTATGTCTACACTACCACGCTAGTTCAAACTAGTGGGGTAATGTAGGCATACCGCACTGGCAAATGAAGCCCGGGATTTGAATTTCCCGGGCTTCATTTGCATAAGGGGGGAGCTGCCATTTTTAAAACCCCGCTGGTTCAAACCCCATGCAGCGCGGCTACACAGGGCTCGCACTAGGGAGTTTAGAAGATAGGATACACAAAGAACAAGTTAAAAATCACTTAGGAAAGTTAGATGTCAGCAAGTCACCAGGTCCTGATGAAATGCATCCCAGGATACTCAAGGAGCTGATAGAGGAGGTATCTGAGCCTTTAGCTATGATCTTTGAAAAATCATGGCAGACAGGGGAGATTCCAGAAGACTGGAAAAGGGCAAATATTGTGCCCATCTATAAAAAGGGGAATAAGAACAACCCAGGAAATTATAGACCGGTCAGTTTAACGTCTGTCCCAGGGAAGATAATGGAGCAGGTAATTAAGGAAATCATATGCAAACACTTGGAAGGTAATAAAGTGATAGGGAATAGCCAGCATGGGTTTGTGAAGAACAAGTCATGCCAAACTAATCTGATAGCTTTCTTTGATAAGATAACGAGCCTTGTGGATAAGGGAGAAGCGGTGGATGTCATATACCTAGACTTTAGTAAGGCATTTGATACGGTTTCGCATGATATTCTTATTGATAAACTAGGCAAATATAACTTAGATAGGGCCACGATAAGGTGGGTGCATAATTGGCTGGATAACCGTAGTCAGAGAGTTGTTGTTAACGGTTCTAAATCCTGCTGGAAAGGGATAACAAGTGGAGTTCCTCAAGGGTCTGTTTTGGGACCCGTACTGTTCAATATCTTCATCAATGATGTAGATATTGGGATAGAGAGTACAGTACCCTGACAGCCCAGAGCCACAGAACAGGGTGGGGTTGCGACTTCTTTGGAGGATAGGGACATAATTCAAAATGACCTTAGCAAGTTAGAGAAATGGTCAAAGGTAAACAGGATGAGGTTTAATAAAGAGAAATGCAAAGTGCTCCACTTAGGAAGGAACAATCAGTTCCATACATACAAGATGGGAAGCG